TTTACAGTCATTTAAAATTCACTATCATATAGATCACATTGACAGTACGAACGCATCATGTCAATTTTATTTTCTGAAACTGAAAAAGTCAAGCCAGTTCTGATTGAGAACGGTTTGATTACATTCAAGAACGTGTTCATGAAAATAAAATATACTGGCGATATATTTGATTAATCTTTGTTATTTTGTTTACTTTTTTCCTTCATTGTCTTTCACTTTTTTTGACAAAAATATTTATTTGCACATACACACACTCATTTTGCACACAATTATCTGCACACAAACATCTAACACACAATTGTCTGTTCACACAATTTCCTTGTACACAATTGTCCATACACACAATTGTCTGCACATAATTGTCTTACACACAACAGTCGTGCTCCCATCTAAAATATATTCATATCCCATCACTAGTACTGCTAGAACGCAACTGGCATGATATAACAAAAATTCGCTAAATTTTAAAACAAATAAAATATGATTAGCTCATGAGGTTTCCAAAGTAGCTAAAAATGTTTTAGAAAAATAATTCAAAAAATAAATTTAAAAAAGCTGTTAGCAAGGATCGAACTTTGTACAAATAATCATGGCAACTATTCCGAATATTTGATAAAATAAAATTAAAAATATCTTCTTATGTTTATATTTTTATTTAAAGTTATTAAGACTTTTGATATCCTGCGTAAAATCTTTTTCTTCCAAAGAGAATTTTTTAAAATTATTTCGCACGTTACAAATTCATCTAAAGCTTCATATCAACTGCAATAAATATATATGCGGATAAGAACTAGTCGAGAGGAAATGAGTGAGAGAATAAATTCCATACAAATAGACGCTAACAAAGAAAAACGAGAGAGGGAAGGAAACACAAAAATTGAGAAAAACAGTGTGGACGTCAACCTTATAGTCTGCCTGTAAGCGCCGGTCATAACATATTTCTCAATGAATTAGATGAGTACCTCACACCTCAGCAAGAATATAGTAAAGACAGCGATGCAAAAAATGAGTGTGAAAAAAACGGAAAACAGAGTATGATCTTGACAAAGAAAAGTTGTCGAGAGAGAGAAAGAGAAAAACCATACATGCCATATGACTTGATGAAATCAACTGATGATTGCAACGATGGAGGTAGTCATAGAAATCGTCGGGACACAGCAACTCGTCAATAAGGAAAGTTAGACCGAAGAAACTTCTGAGTTTACGATCGAACACGAGTTTGTAAAGAGCGAAGTCTGTTGTTCTATAGACGCTAGTGTTGTAGGCGATAACCACTTGCTGCAAAAAATAGTCCCAGTCGCTCTTCTTCTTGTTGCAATACTTAGTCAATTAAGTTGCAAAAGTCACTTTGAAGCACTCAATGTGGTTGTTGATGGTATTATGGGGAGAAGGTATGCTTGATTTCATTTATCTGTGTGATGAGTTATTCTGATGCCTCATGTATCATGACGAACCTTTCCATAAACAAGTTTTTCGCTATCTGTGTAGTACAGTCTGGGAGCCTATGTGGTGATCTACTTCGAGAAGCTGTTTTTCAGTACGAGTACATAACGGTTGTCATCATCGGATACTGTCATGTTACTCCAGAAGTTCATGTGCACAATTAGGAAGTTGCCTTCGGGTGATTCAATGTTCTTGAAGTGACCATTCTCTTTGGTTTTGCATATGTTGTGGCGAGCACATTGGTCGCATGATCTGATGTGTTATTCAATGGCATGTCGCATCGGTGTGTATCAAAATTGAACTTTGACTTTGCTCAACACTCTTCTCATTCCAAAGTGTCCACTTAAAGGACAGTCATGAAACACACCGAGATCAGTGTACCCCAGGAAAACAAGCAGTTACAGAACCTTGAACATGGTGTCGCGTCCTTTCTTGCGGATCAACCGAAAGATGATATTGTTTTGAGCATTAAAAATACCGTTTTTTTTCCGTCGATCATTCGCTATTTCTTTCCTATGCCGTTCGAAGTCTATCCAAGATGAGGCCGACAAGCATCGTTGCTGCTGGATTTGTGTTGGACGGAGCGTCATCGTTATTGATGCCTGGATTAATAGGGTTTGGTTTGTCGGTGACAGTATTTATTGTTGTTTCGTCTTTGACCCAGTCGAGGTGGCTCTATCTATCTCATCATTCCATATTTTAGGCTTGCTGATCAGTCCTCAATCTCGCCATATCTTTGATTGCCCGGCCTTGTCGTTTAGTCAATACAATTACTCTCTTTACTCGAACTTGTATTTGATCTCGATAATCTGATGAAGTATGTCTTATATTTTGAGCACATAGCTGTGACGTGCTTGTTCCTAAAGTTCAATTTTTTATGGAAGATTGTTAACGGCTTATGGTCCGTCTCTATAGTCACACGTAAATTACCAATATAATAATGCAATTTATCAAAGTACCACATAATTGCTAAGACTTCTCATTCAGTAGTATTGCGACGACTTTCTCTCTAAGATGATAGGTGAGATTGTAAGTAGCTGATCTTGATGTCACGATTGATTATTTGTTCTAGGACGCATGTAATTTATACCTTGCTTCAATCTTTAGAGAGTATGAACGGTGTCAACTTATCGGAGAAGTTTAGAAACAAAGTGTTGCGGGTAGAATTCGCTTGAATGTTTCGAGTATCACTTGCTGTTCTTCGTCCCAGTAAAATTCGTCTTTCTTTGGGTCCTTTTTTTTGTTATTTTGTGAATAGAGGCGGTGGTCTTCGCGAAGTTCAAAATGGACTTTCGATAAGTCTATTCTACTGATGAATATGTTAGCTTGTATTAACGTCTTCAGCGATAGAATCTCTAAAATGATCTAGATTTTGTTCGATGATGGCTCTTTGCCGGTGGCAGTAACGATGTAGCTGAGAAGTTCCATCTTGTCCATAGTAGCGACATATTTGGGTATTGACATCCGGAAACGGAGCTTGTGAAAGATTGACTTCATAGTTTCATTGTTCGGTGGCGATCCGGTTATTCATCACTCGCCGAAAGGTGGAGGGCACGTTCATCAGGTCATGCGCTAACACATTGAATTGATACAAACTACCCTATGTTGCAAATGCTATCGTCCTCTCGCCGACTTCAGACCGAAGATTTGAAAGTATCCTGACCTGAAGTCAGTTTTGGTGAAGAAGCGGTGTTCTACCGGGCAATTCAGCAGTTTCTCTACAGTGGACCGTGAATAGACATTTCTCTTTGTGACGGCATTCACGTGACAAAAGTCGATCAGGAATCGATGGGTACCGTCTTGTGGCTTCTCAAAAACAAGAGGCGACGTCTATAGCAACGCTGACCCTCGAATAACATTCTCGTGAAGTAATTTGTCAACTCCTTTGTGCAGCACCTCTCTTGGTTGAGACATCTTGTAGAATTGGCGACCACTTATCGGTGCAGCAACAATGTAGACTATCAAGGAAGTCAAGTCAATCTTGTTCGTCGATAATGTGCTTGATCAACTTGTCGATTACCGTGTCGAGTTGATCTCGTTATCGTGGATGTTCATTTGCACTATTTGTCATGACAATTGGCTCTCTCCAGTTATCGAATAAGCAATATGCTTTTCTTCGGACATGAAGTGGGCCGAATAAAATGCTGTTCCTTTTCTAATGTGATTAGGAAGAAAAAAGCAGAACTTTCGTGGTTCGCATCACAGAGATATATACTTCGGTAATTCGGATCATGAGTTCGGTATGACCAGCTATCGTTCAATAACAAATGAGAGAGATTGAAACGAAAAAAGCTGCATTTTTTTAGTTGAAAGAATTTTACAGGTAACCTGCGAAAGAGATATCACGGATTGTAAAATATTTGGATGTCGAACAATACAAGAGATTTATTCTGTTTTGATGAACTTCAAAAACAAACTGTTGAAATTATTGCACAAAAGTATAGAATTTTTTCTTTTCTTGCATTTTTTCTAACTTGACATAATAACAAGAATTCTTTATGTGATTTCGGTGTAATAATGAAAGGCACTTAATTGAAACATAGACAAGGTGTTGGTCATAACCCTAGGCCAGAACAAAAATAAATATTTTTTTATAATAATTCGGAGTTTTAAGCTTCAAAACTTTGTACCTTAAAATGTCGAGAAAAAAGATGAAAATCTCCGTAACGGCAATTGTTTTATATTTGCCTTCAATGTAATTATTCCATAAAAAGAATTACCTGATATTCGGGAGGCTTCTTGAAAGTCGCATAATTTTTGTGCGGAGTGTTAATTAGTATATCATTTCATACCGTATTGAAAAACAAATTTACTTGTCTTCCTAAAGAAGATAACCACTTTTTTTAAGCTCAATAACGGCGAGAATCTTATGAATAACTCGGCTCTAGCTGAATCGATATGTATGAAAGTTTTGACGATGCTTCCTATCTATGATAAAAGTCGTAGATAGTTCGCGTTTGATATTACAGAGATAAAGCTCATAGAAGATAAAAGACGGAACAACTTTCTAATGGCTGTCAGTTCCTATTTCTAGTCTTCGCTAACTTCTGAAAAACATCTGTAAACAGAGCAAAAAAGTACTAGAGATAGATCTGCTTTGCATTGCCCTTTTCACTTTTTTTTCAAAATCTAGACAAAAGCTAGTCAATAACAATATTTGAGATTAGTGGTTAAAATTAACATAAGTATATCTCTTGATTAGTGGATGGCACAGCGAATTAGGCTGACAAAATGTGAAATGATTCCATGGCGAAGAAGAGTGAATTTTTTATGTACGGTAGTAATTAGTTGATCAGTACTTCGAGAAATTGAAAACTCAACTGATGATGACATCATCGACTGATCAGTTCGCTTCTCTATCGTTAATGGTAATTTTTATCGACTTCTTCATTCTTGCATCTGATAGGTAAAGTCGTATCTGAATGAACCTTAAGTAGTAGCGATAGTTTTATTCGACTCAAATATTTTCATGCAATATTCTACAGATACGAATTAACAATGTACATCATGTCTGAAAACGACAAATTACACTACATACATAAACCCACACGCAAAGTTCACAATCGAGTAACCATACTAGCGGGTGTTTCGGGTGCTGCTGTCGTCTTTTCATTCCCATTTGTGGAAAGTTCAACTGGTAGCGATGTCGGGTCCATATCAATTCGTTTTGGACCGACAAACCGATGGCGAGCAGAAACAAGCCAATAGATTACTGCAATCAATGCAATACCACTAATAATTACTATGGTATAGTTCATATTGTCTTTTGTTACTGGATATTCAGTAGGAAAACACATAAAAATTGATGTAATAAAAAGCCATATAGATGAGATAATTGCAATTGGAATACTGAATCGTCCTAAATTGAAACCACCCAACTGAAATGTATCTCGAGCAATTGTACAACGAAAAAATATAGGCATAAAATATGATATTTGAAAGCCGAGGGTAGTGATAGCAATGATGGCAACAAATGCTGTAGTCGACACCAATTGAAGTAGTAGCAGGAGAGAATCAATGATACATACAAAGACGACATTAGCTAGAGGTGTTTTAGTTGGTTCGAATATCCAACGAAGATAATTCGAAAATGGAAATATACCATCACGAGCCATTGCAAAGCTAGAGATTCACATAGTATGAAATCTTTGTGGATTGATAATAATGGAAAGGTTCTTACCCGATTCGGCTTGTTACTGTAATAGATGACATACCGGCAAAATAAAGATTAAGAATGAGTAGAATAGTAAGTGCAAGTGCACCTCGATGTGGTAAAGTTGATTGAAAGGTAATTATGGTGAGATTGATCGTTTCATTATCGCCACTAGTAGCCTCCATAAATGCGGACACATCCGGAATGACAAAGAGAAGAGCAAGCAAATAGATAACACCAATAATTGCACTGCATATACATGTAGCAACGATGCCTCTGGGTGCTGAAAACCGAAGATTACAATATATAGAGCAAAAGAAGCGGCAAAAATGTCAAGCGACTTTTTTTCCATGTTATATGGATACGCTAGAGACTTCAGTTTCTCTTGATTATTAAGGGGTAAATCGCTACTATACATCTTATTTTGATCAAATTTTAGCAAATTGATAATTCGAAAGAATATATTGGAAAACTATAGCCTTCGAAAAAATATTCTTGAAATGCATACGTTGCTAAAATATAGAAAAACTGACGAGCGAGTTTTCATAATGTCTTCGATGAAGTAGATAGTCGGGTTTTTCTCATAAACAAGAGTAAGATCCATAACTCAATATGCATTATGAACAAATTTTAGTACGCTTAGTATGCGAGAGAAAATAATAAACAACTAAAACCGTTTGAAACTCTTTTTCTCACATCTGCCATTGATCATATTGAAAAAACATTATCTGACTACGAGAACCCTTTATTCCTCCGCTAAAGTCGTATTCTGAAAGTCTACTTGATGTTCAACAAGATGAGCTCAGTATTAACTATTTTCATCCTTTTATAATAAGACAATGAAGCTTTCACCATAAGCTACATGTCATATAGTATGGAATATGGGTAGTCCTATTAGAATTAAAACAATTTATGTACACCAAGATTTCGAAATCAGCTCATATACAGTTCATTTTGAAGGATTTCGCGATTTATGTATACCATAAAAAAGCTTTCAGCGCAATATCTGCAGGATTAAAATGTGAAACACAGTGGAAAAACTGCAAAAGTGAACTAAAACTCTTCGCCACGGCAGGCAATGTCTTTTAAAGGGAGGGGATGGATCCACATTTCTCGCTATGTATTTCAAAACTCCTTTCAGATAGTATATGACAAAACTACAGTTTCTCGATATTTCGTTCAATAGATATAGTTATCACACGTATTAATCCATTATGGGATCCGAAAGATGCACGAAATTACGAGGTCTACCTTTTTCAAGATCACAAGACTTAAAATTAAAATTAACTACATATTCTTGTTTCTCTTGATATTATGCATCCTCTTATATGCCATTCTTTAGTGTTCGCTGATCTGGTACAAAAGAGCCTCTTGAACACATAGCTAAAAACTGTCATAAACGGCTGACAAGAAAAAAATCTCTGAAGTTAGATGCATGCATCGAGCCATCTAGTATATTTTGTAGTGAACTTCCTCTGCCAGATCCTATCTCTGGTATATTTAGGTTTTTCTATAAATAGCTGAGATACTGATAATCGTAAATGTTTTCCTAAAAACTACATTGAATCTAAGCAGCCCTCCATTATGTTGAGAAGATCCTCATCTGATAGGCAATTTAATCTGAATTGGAGATTCACTCACATGTCGTTCGCTGTATTGAAAATTACATCGATAGCGAATAATTTCATAAAAAATAGTGTATAGTTTGATACTTCAAGGACTCCATGAGCTTGATGCATAACCAATTGTAAACCTAAATGTTTGACCTCTTCGGTTAAAGTGATGCGAAGTTAAGCTTATCCGACTTTTAACTATTCCTTGGCCTTTATGAAAAGCTGTTTCTGAAAAGTTGAGCGGTACATTCCAACAGAGATCGAAGAAATTTTTCATACGAAATGCCCAAAAATAGAGCAAGAAAAATAAAAATTCATTATTGAAGCTAATGATGATACTTCTAAGTAATGTTAACAAATGTTGTTATTATGGATAAAAAAAACTCTGAGCTCCTCTTCAAGATGCGAGGTGAGCGCGGGAGGATGTGGATGTGGCGTTTCTATTCACACACACCTAGATTTACACCCATATCCATACGCTCATTCTCAGTCCAATAGGAATAGAGAAAAAGTCAAGGTCATTATGGAAGCCTTCTTTTGATCAAAAGTTTTCTATCTGGCACGAATTAGAGTTTCATCCGAGAGAGAATGGGAGGCATGATTTTCTCGATAAAGAAAAAATTGTCAAGCCACCTAGACTTCTGGAGGAGATGCAAAAATTTCGGAAGAATCTTTTTTTACACATCCGCTTACTCGTCCGTTGATCTAATAGAATTTGGAATTCTAATCATTATTAGGTGGTCGAACTCTAATATCTATTGTGAACTGACAGCATAAGGTGGACAATTCGGGTGGACAACTTCAAGGATCCATGGATAATATTCGACTTAAAAGTGCACTGGAAATGACTGAGTGTGAGATTGAACTGGATTATATAGATGTAAAATTTTGTGTTCTATTCTATAGCAAAAGAGTTAAGCCCACATACCTGACTTATCACATTATCAACAGCGGATGCCAGTCTCTGTTAAGATATCTACTAATTTTACATCGAGAGCTGACAAAGCTTATCCTCAACATAAAGTCCTATATGGATATTTTAAGATCAAACGCTCCGCATACACCGTTAAAGAGAAGACTAAGCCCTATTATACTAATCAACCATTGCACGTTTATCTAAATTATTTTTTCAAAATTATTCTGTTGATTTCGAATTCATTTTCTCTGGAATGGAATTATGTAATCGGTGAAGTATTGATTTATATGCGAGGGTCTGCATAAGATCTCCTAGCATTCTATGAATATTGCTTGTTTTTCGTTCTCATCTACATCAAGCTTGATTTTTTATTGTCAACTTTGCATGAAAACTCGAAATCATAGAATTTCGGAAGACGAAGTCAAGTAATTATGAAGTTGAGAATATAGATTATGACTTGCATGATCATCCATTCTAAACCTTTTCAAGGAGAAGAATATCTTGGCATTTTCTGTAAGAAAAAGCTTTTCAACAAGTCCACAATTGGTATATTCCTACGTAATTTGACTAGCTCTATCCAATCATTTAAAAAAAACCGAAAAATAAATTCTCGCTCAAAATTCAAAATCTCAATATCTCATGCATCTGAAAAAAGCTTATTCTGTTTCGTGAAGCGAAAATTCTGTTACAGTTCAAAAGTCATTGTCAGTCTGATAATTGTTTTTAAAATATTTGGCTTTGGTATAGAATATCAGAATGAACGTTTCTCTACAAAGTAGCATAGGAAATTCAAATTTAAAGTAAATAAGTTAGATTGTAAGGATTTTTTCTGAAAATCACTTCCAATACAAAAATTACCCTTCTGACATGATAGTTTTTTCGAGATGCCCTTACTGTTTCTGGCAAGTTTATTGTGCACTTAGCTTTCATGTAAAATATATCATTTTGCAGATAAATATTCGGTCTAAAAATCTGTCATACTTCCAAATATTTTGATAGTAGCTTATGAAAAATAATCTTGTCATAATAATTTAAATTCGCATGAAATTTTTTCCTAATCCTATTTTTACTTTCTAGAATTCATGCATACTCCTGTTCTCCGTTTTACCTGCACGGCGAGCACTCCTGGTCTCTTCAGCCAAATGAGCGCCGGCTACAGAACAAAACAAAATAATATAGAATTGTTCTTTTACACAACAGCTATCTGTATTATATACCTTCATAGCCGGAAAATGAAAAAACTGTTGAAAGTATTCCAATACAGCAAACATAGCCAAATGAAAATCCTGTACCATTATAAGTCAATGTAAAAACGTCTTCAGCAGTGGCTCGTCGTGGAGCCATGACGAGGAGAACAATTGCGATGCTGATTGCAGAACTGATTTGAAAAAATGCCGCTACGTTATTGATCCATCCTTGCAGATCGATTCGAAGTGCATTTTGAATGGCCCATATAAATGTAACTGCTATACCAACACCTACTTGTCCTCCGACACTTAATGACGATTTTCCATCGAGTACGAGTGCAGCGTTTATAATGCTTGCAAAACCATATGAAAATGCGGTAGTACCTTTGTTTTCATATAAAAAATAAGACATGTTTCAAAACAAAAGATGTTTTTCTTATTATTACCTGCAACATTACCGACAAAATTGAACCATCCACAGATGAAAGAAGCCAATGGAGCATATCGAGGCGATACAAGCATAGCGGACCTGTATTTGAAATAATCAATAAATAGATATTATATATATATATACTCGTACCAATAATAGACAGAGCCTGCAGTCGGATAGACTGAACATATTTCAGCTAATGAAAGGCCGATGATGATTGTAAAGAAAGATCCGAGTATCCAAGACCATATAGCCACACCTGAACCACCTGTATTTAATGTATTATTGAAACCGATCGAAATCGATGCAAATATATTGACTGCAGTGAAGCAAAATGTAAATGACATGAATGGAGAGAACCCACGGTAGAACTCTTGGGTATAACCCATTTGTTTAAGAATACGTTCATCTGAATTTTCTTCCTCTTGTCGTTTGTTTTTTTCGACAGTTTTGTTCTCCATATCAAAAATAGCAAATAGACCGGAATGAGTATCTAGAAAATTTGATTAAAGAAATAGATTTTTCAGTTAAGAGATAAAAGTTGGTTTTCTTTGTTTTTGGAAACGTCTCAATGTAACGTTGTTTAGTAATGTCAAATGGAACTGATGATCTGGAAGATTTTTGATTCAAATTGACATAGCCAAGGTATGCAAAAAGATAAATAAAACAAATATCATTCGTATTTTTCTCTTTCACTTGTAGATTAATTATGAATTCAAGTTCGTTACCCTCACTAACTGTAGAAAAGTTCCTACCGTACAAAATTACCAAGTTCGATAGCCCTTACAACTTTTCCAAAAACAATTTATAAGATCAGCAAAAACCCTGCTTTCTTCCCTGGCAAATTTATTTTTAAAGCCTTTTAAAAAATTCCTCCCTATTATCGAACAAGAAAACAAATGGAACATCTCTGAGCTCATGCTCGAAAAAAGTGCAAAATTCTGTTTCTCATGCTAAAGCTTTTCAGTGTCCCGAAACATGTTCAAGAAAACTAAAAGTCAATATATACTTTGTTCTGAAAGTTTCCACCCACCAGTTACGTAACAGACACTCAATGGCGACTAAATATGTGTTTTAATCAAGGCCTTTAGAAATAAAATACTCGAAATCTCTGAAAAATCTGGGACTTGTAGAAAATTACTGAAAACGAAGGGAAATGATTCATTCACACATTGGTCCTATTGGAAAATCACTTTACCAATTAGTTTCGCCTCAGAGTTATTGCTTCTCCCTTTAACACTATATTACTCACTATTCGCATGGACAATTTTCTTGAAGACTTCATAGTGTGCTCAACGATATGTAGTGAACCACCCTGATCACTGTAGATGTCTGCTTAAAATAGCATCATGCAGTGTTTATGATCGCTACCTGACTCTTTCACAAACATACCATTCTTTTGCAATAGATAGCAATCGTTGAGGACTACAAAATGGTGCTAAAATATGGAAGAAAATATGCTGTCTTAGAAATCTTTCAAAGATTGTATTGTTAGCATCGCATGAAAAGTACATAACCTGCTCAGATCTATCGATATGATCTCCATAATTTATCATAGAACCATCACCATTTTTTCATGATAGATAAAGTTCTCTGGGCGCTACAAAATGGTAATAAAACATGTGCGAAAATGTGCTGTTATCGAAACATTTCGAAAGTTCAAATCAAAAACAGATAGGTATATGCAAAGTAATAGTCTGGTTCGCTGATTCTATCTGAATGGCTTTTGTAACTATCAAGCTTTCCTATCAAAGTGGAAGAAGCAATTAAATGAAATGAGAAAAAGCATGATAAAGAGAATTAGTGAGCGAGATGTCGCGAGTGTGAATGCCGGTGTACAAAAGATTTTAACCCACTAGTACACCTGCACCCACACCCACACCGATGTCTCATCCATGTGTAAACCCATACCACACTTCACAACCCCACTCAACTAAACACAATTTGATGTACATCTGAGATCACGGATCACATAACACAGAGTTTCTAATCCGAATACTGATCACTACGCTCTCTTGATCATTATCTTCACTGTGACATCTACTCACTCTCTCCATCTTGATAGAAAAACTAGATCGTTACAAAAGTCATTCGAATAGCATCAGCGAATCAGGCTATTATTTTGCATCTAGGTATCACGTTTGATTCGAACTTCCGAAATGCTTCGAGAACAGCACATTTTCGTCCATGTTTTAGGACGATTTTGTGGCTTCCAATCGACTCTGTCTACTCTAAAAGCATGGTGCATTCGTAATGGCGTTACTTGGTGATCGTAAACACTACATGCTATTTTAAGCCGAAATCTTCTATGATCAGGCTGGTTGACTATATCATCGAATACAACATGACGTGTGTACAAAAATTGTCCATATAAATCGAGAGTGGAATAGTCTTAAATGAAGCAGCATTAGTTAGTTATAATTTGTTACTGATTTGTGAAATGATTTGCGAACATAGCCGATTTATGGACCAACCGTTCCTGTCGTTTCTTGTCAACTAGAGGACGTATAACCTTATTCAATAAAGTACGATGCTTTTCGTCATTGCTTTTTCCCGACTTTGAAGCGTCTAGTATCACGCTTAGTAATGCAATTAATTCTTTTCGAATTCTTGTGTCCAATTCTTTTTCGTTTTCTTGGAGGTTCAGTAAGAACTTGTGTAATAATGGAGCATCAGCTATCGTAACAGGTTGTACTAAAAAAGATTATGTTGTGTTATACTTTTTAAGTGTCCCTTTTGTTGTTCTTTCACTATTGAAAGAAACAGATCTTGAAGAAACATATTTTTGTTGAAATGAACAGTCAACCCTATGTAAAATATCATGACAAGGACAATCAGAAATTATAAACCTTTTAATTTCTATAGAATTTTGAGCGTATCAAATATACACGAACACGATGCTAAGATAAATATACTTGAATCTTAAAATATAAATTCATTTACCGTTTAAACTGCAAACTTTTCTTGTTAATGTAAGCCGAGTAACCCATTTATTGTATCTTCTCGATGAAATTCGATTTTATTTTGTGGAACTCACGTATATTTTTGGAAGAAAATAGTGAGTGTAAGTTTTAAGGTCAAGGTTTGGCGGCTCCCCCCCCCCCCCCCCCCCCCCCCCCCGCCCGGCCCCCCACCCCCCCCCCCCCACCTCCCCCCCCTCCTCCCCCCACCCTCTACCCGTCCCCCTCGCCCTCCACTGCAAGC